AAAAAAAAAACAACCTTTTTTTTCTTTTTCTTTTTTTAATTGTTTTCATTTTTCTCTTTTTAATGGGTGGGGATGGAAAGAAATGTCAATATGAAGCTTTTATGCAATTCATCTAAGATAAACATAAGTAGAACAAGCTGAGATGTGTACCACTAGACTTATCTTGCCTTGTGTTAGAAGATGCTCCAACGTCTTTAGACTGTCTCTGGCTCTCGTCAACAACCGTATTCTCCAAGTCAACTTTTTCTGTCTACACAAAATAGCCACCTTCTTTTAGAGGACATAAATAAATACGGTCAAGGCCAAATAACAGAGTTAAAAGTACTTTAAGCTTTAAGGAACATTGTTAGGAAAAACCAGTCCGACTCATCAGGGTCAAGGCACTCTTTAAATCCATATTGATCATAATATCAAATAGTTTGCTAATACATAAACTAATACCGTACTTTTGAAATTCATAAACTATTAAATCTTGAAAGAATTTATGCTATCACATTATGATGCATAATGGAGGAGCAAAATGAAACGATATTCAAGGAAACACAACAATCTAAGAAATGCGGATAAAACTACAACAGAAATGATTAGGTGTTCCCATTCTCTACCACTAAGCATGAGAGATCTAAGATATCCTAGGTTGCATTTGCATTGCAGAGTTTGAATTTGGAAAGGTGATTTGAACAGAATGATTTTAAATGTCTCCATCCAATACATGGATTTCAGATCCTCGAAACGACTAGGAAAATAGCCAACAAGATGAAATCCATTGGATAGATAGGTTATCCAAACAATCTCAATGGATTTGTTGTTACTTAGTAGAGATTTGTAGAACCCCAAAATCAGATCCATCATCAAAATGGACTGCTAATAAAATTTACACACATCAGAAGGAAGGTCAAAATCCATAAAGGTGGATTATCTATAGCATTTTCCCTGCAGGCCAGATACATAAATAACTGGTATAAGTAATGTAAGGAGCAATGTTCATGTAGTTATCATTTCCTAATAATTCGATAATTATAAAACTCCAATATTCACTGAATCAGTTAAAACATTTCAATTCCACAAAGAAAGCCAAACAGGAGTTATGGATTTTGTTTGAGACAGAATTTTTAAGTAACAGAATATATGGTCTCAAGGCTATGTAGTAATACGTGAGACAGGATCAGATACAAACAATCAAGGACAATGATCCTCGCATATTGAAAAGGAAGTACAGTTATAAATGTAAATACAGTTTATAGGCAATGCAAACAGAGGAAAACACCAGAAAACAACTATTTTCCTTGCAACACCAACAAGCTCTTTTATGTTAACTTTGCAAAACAACACTGTTAAAATATAGGTTAGTAAAGATAATAACAAAACCAATAAAGTAGACCCTCAATATCACTACTTTTCATTTCCACTAAAAGTTAAAGAACGAGTTCCAGATTATTTTCCTTCAACATTTTTTGGCAGAAAATTTCTTTCACATTCATAGATGATTAACATAAAATCTACTTGTTCTGGAGACAAAATAGAAATGTCTACTCAAAAAATTACCCAATTCCTGTCTAATAACAAACTATTACAGGTAAAACAAAAGTATAACATAAAGCTTCCTTTTCGGAATGGCCTAACCTTTGGTAGTAATTACAAGCATGGATCACCCTTGGTTATTAATATCAGATGGGCATATATTTGGATATAGTTATACCAGTAGAATAGACCGGTTACAATGCCAAATGAAAAACGTTACTGAGTATCTACCTCAGGGGTCAGGTCTACAAGAAACTTGAGTCTGTATCACTATATCCAGATAGTGGTGGGATGCCTTGCTCATAAGGGAAGCTATAAACCACATCTAATGCACATTTTACATTAGTTACACCATCATGCCAACACATAGTATGTTTAGTTAATAAAGTGGGAGAAATTATATCTTCCCATATAATCTTAATCATAAACTTCTGCAGGAAAAACCACAGAACTCGAAACATTGGCACAGAGTGCGATAGCAAACAGACGAAGAAGCCTAACAGATGCCTGAAAGGACATAATCCCCCGATCCCACCACCCGCCACACCAACTAAAATGATAACAGTAACTTGATGCAATTATTTTTACAGCCTCGTAAATGATTCAATAAAATATTGCATCCTTAAAGAATAATGTGTCCATGTACTTATTGAATTATTTAGACATAGTTTCAGTTCAAGAGACTTATACAACAGAATATTTGGGAAAAAAACAAAGAAAAAGCAGGAAAAAGAAAAGGAAAAAGAAAATATTAGCTGTTTACAGCCAGTCCAGAAAGCACAGGATATGTACAAACACTTAAAGACTGAGCTACACAGCTGCAGAAATCTAAGGAGATCCAAAAGCACTTTAGCGTGAATATTTCTTTGCCGAAACCGAAGAAGACCTCTGAATTGAACTTGCAAGGGATTTTCTACTAATCTTAACGTGTACCTCAAGCTGACGCAGTGTGTCCACGAGGATCCAATGCTTCTGCTTCAAGATCATCAGCTGATTCTGCAATGAAGCAAATTCATTCCTCATGATCTGCTCGCTTTGCTGAATGGCGGCCTCACTCAAGCCTTCTTCCAACAGCCTCTGCCTCAGCTTCTCGGTTGAGACCGCCAGGTTGTCCACAGGCGCCAATAGCTCACTGTTGGACATCCTTGGGAACATTTCCTTCACTGTCTGCAAAGCTTCCATCCAAGTTATTCTGTCCTCACGACTCTCGGTCCTCAGATGGAGCTTCTTTGTCCCCGTAAAAATGGAGAATCTCTTATCATCAGATTGGCTCTCCCGAATAGATGAGACCTGTAGGGAAACTAAAATTTTGAAATAACCAGACAGTTGCATTTTCTGAAAAACAAAAAATCATTAGTAAAACATGCAAATAGAAGAAGCAAGAAGACAGTAGTAGGCAAAAGCCCGGAGAAATCTGTGTCACAAGTTTGATAGAGTTTTATATAACATTCTTCACCACCGAAATTTATTGTTACCCGATTGAGCAGCAGAAAACAACAAATCTGCTGATAATGCAAAGAAATCAAGCCAATCAAATTGGATGATAAAGATCCTCAACAATACTCAGACAGCGTAAATGCAATCCATTTTCATGGAAATTTCAAACTCATACTAATAAACCGCGATCCACCAAACAAGCAACAAATATCTCATCCAGCACAGTAAGCATTTCCCGGTAAGCAATACAATTTAGAACAAAACCTTTAAATGCACTTCGCCAACAGGCTTCCGGCTTCTCGGCGAAGAACTACTGCTCCTGTTCCGATGGTGATTCTGATTGTGATGTTGATGGTGGTAATGGTGGTGGTGGTGGTGATTGGCAAGTGGCCGCTTAATCCGCCTCATCGACTCATCTCCAATCACTCTTGACCCTCTCTCTGTTTCCTGTTCAAGGGCAATCCTGTCCGGCCCGTGGATCTTGTAGTAGCTGAGCACCCCGTCCTGAAGCACGAACCACCGCGGCCGCCAGCCCCTCCCGTAGTTCACCCACTTGTACAAAATCCCCGAGATCCCATCCCCAACTATGTCATTGATCTTCAGCTCCCGGTTAACCTGATTCTGGCCGTGGCCATGATCTCCCCCGGAATCGCGAACCGAAGATGCTCTGGAGACCGCCGCCGAGTTGTGCCCGTTAGTCGCCGGATCTGACGGCGGATACGGTGCCGGAGTCGGCATGTCGTAGCTGTCGATCGTCACCGTTGACCCGCAGCAGAAAGGATGCATCGCGAGATGAGCATAACTCAGAGCTCAGTTGTAGAATCCCTTCGCTCCCATATCGGAAAGTTTCGCCGGATTTTTATTTTCACCAAAAAAAAAATATATATATATTTTATTTTTTTTTCAAAGAAAAGGAAAATTTGTTTGAGAGCTCGACTAAATATGGGTATTGTAGATATGGAGATGTACAGATACAAAATGTGTGTGTATATGCGTGATGGATATAAGGAGGATATTGAATTGGGGGAGAGAAGTTTCAGGGGGTACACGGCTGAGGAGATTTTTCCGGCGAGGTTACGGCCGTGGTTTGCAGGTTTTTCTTTTTCTAATTAACGTCGTGAAGAGGGGTTGTTGAATTTATGGTGGTCAGGTGTTTTGAATTTGGATTCATTTCTTCTTATTTTTTAAAACTCAATAGCATTTTTTTATTATTACTTTTACTTTTTTTTTTTTTTATACTGAGGTTCCAGGCTTGCGCCTGATTAATCCTCAAAGAAATAGCACAACTGCACAAGGAGTCGATCTTCAAGTGATTGCTCGCTGACCTTTCCAGCTCCAAGTTGGCCTCACCTATACAGCCGCTAGTTTAATATCCGTGATCATATAGGTACCAAATTTTTATACTTAAATTCTTAAATAAATAGTAATAATTTCTAATAATATGTTTTTTATTTTAATTTTTAGTACTTTTTAAAATCTAAAAATATTATTTGTATTGGAAATGGAAAGTTTCATTTGCACAATTTGTCCATCTTATATTATAATAATTATTCTAATTCGTATGCAATAAATTTGTAGATACTTTTTTTAGTTAATATACATTATTATTATTATTTTTAATTAATATTAATAGATAAAGAATTTTATACTAAAAGAAAATAAAATTATTTGTTTATTTTATTTGTGCTATATATATCAAATTAAATCTCATCAAAAGATAATTATTTGAAAAATTATATGTGAAAAAATATGATAAAAAATATAAATTAATACTTTTATTAGTCAAATGTTTTATAATTTAGACAAAGCACCAAAAATAACACACAATATGAATCACCATAATCACCCTTATATATAATTTCAGACGCATAGCAGCTTGACAAATATTATGCTTTGTAATATGACTTGGATAAAAATTAATATTTTTTTATAACAAATAATTTAGGTTCGGATTATCATATATATACACATATTTAATATATTTCAACCAATCAATATAAATGTATTTATTATCTTCTTTATATAATGTGCATATAATCTTACCTTCTAAATTTTGTACTGTATTATTCGCTTATGTATGTTACATAAGAATATTCTAAATAAAAATTAATGAGGTATATAAATTAGTTTTTTAAAATTTAAAATAATACAATTAATTCACTTAGTTATTTAGTATAAAGTTTTTTACATTGTTCTTTATTTATTTTTTCCACCTTCAACAAAATATCTATTCTTTTATATTTTATATTATATATTTAATTATTTTATCAACCAGTATAGTACACGGACATTGTACTAGTCCGATATAATATGAGTTGAGAATTCAAGGTCATTACACTCATTACTTATTACTCATAATAGTGTGATAAAATTATGAGAAATTAGAAGCCAAATATTAAAGAAAAATATTGTTAATTAGTTTAAGAGCATCGACAATGTTTTGCTTTTATTCTAATTTACATATTATGTAGAAATTCAATAATGCTAAGGAGACAACTGTTGACTTCGTTACGAAGCCAATAACCAATGGGACAGCTTCATGTGGGGCCGTCCCACATTGGAGCCATGTAAGACAATCTCACATGGAGCTGTCTCATTGACTGTTGGCTCCGTAAAAAAGCCAACAGTTTACTCCTTAGCATTATTGTGTAGAAATTAGATCGGTTACAAAAAATAAAGTTTTTTACATTGTTCTTTATTTATTTTTTCCACCTTCAACAAAATATCTATTTTTTTATATTTTTTATTATCCATTTAATTATTTTATCAACCAGTATAGTACACGAACATTGTACTAGTCCGATATAATATGAGTTGAGAATGCAAGGTCATTAGACTCATTACTTATTACTCATAATAGTGTGATAAAAGTATGAGAAATTAGAAGCCAAATAATAAAGAAAAATATTGTTATTTAGTTTAAGAGCATGGATAATGTTTTGCTCTTATTCTAATTTACATATTACGTAGAACTTCAGTAATGCTAAGTAGGTAACTGTTGGCTCTGTTACGGAGCCAACAACTAATAGGACAGCTCCATATGGGGTCGTCCTACATTGGAGCTATGTGAGACAATCCCACATAGAGCTGTCCCATTGACTGTTCCTTAGCATTATTGTGTAGAAATTAGACCGGTTACAAAAAAATAAAAATAAATAAATAAATAAAGATGCTTTGTAATATTGTTCGTAGCTAGAGCTTTTCACAATAAAACTACGTGGTTATAAAACTACCAACTATTATTATTAGCAATGCCGTGTGGAATAAATATTATATTAGTGTTAGGAATTTAGGAATATATACCATAAATAAATTCGTGATTAATTAATGTTGGAGTAATATTTATTTATTCATTCCCCTTTCCAGCTTGAATTAATTAAAAGATAGATGAAACAGAAAAAAAAAAAAAAAAATAGTTGGTAAATAAATGCCAATTTATGAATATGGTTGATTTATTAGAATTGCAAATTAAGTTGGCAAGAAGTCCTCTGGATTAGTCCAAGTGCTTCTAGAAATGGAAATGTCATTGTTTTTTACACTTATGCATATTCTTAGTTTAAAATAGTTGGTGTTATTATTCATTCAAAGGAATAAAATAAAGTATATTAAAAACAATGAAGCACTTGTTGGGCAATGAACGAGATGAGACGAGTCAAGTTGAACTCGAACTCATGATACCCGAGTCTTTATCGAGTCGAGTCGATAAATAAGCTCGATTTGACTAGTTAAAGGAATATCATGATTTTGCTCGAATTCGTTGAAGCTAAACTATATCACGAAAATAAATTTACAAGGGTTATTAAACTTGATAATTATGCTATTCTCAAATTATTTTTATTTTTTATTTTTTTGACCTATTGGTATGGAAAAAAAAAATGATTTTTTTATTGACTTATTGTGTAGGAAAAAAATGTCAATGAGTTAATGGTCCACCAAAATGTTGCAGCTATGCGAAAAATTGACTGAACATGAATGAATTTGACCAAATGATGGCGATACATATCTATAATTGAACCACTTTTTTATAAGCTTTAATTAATTAAAGGTTTTAAATTGCAAACCCATCAAATTTCTTGATTTATTTATTTTTGCATCTTATTGGTTGAACTAAACAAATTGTTTTAAATGATTTAATAGCATATTTAATTAGCTGCTTGTTAAATAAGCGTTTGATAAACTGCAAAAATTTATAATTATTACGCTATTATTGTCTTTTTTTTAAAAAAAAAATATAATCTCATCAACTAATAAAAGATATATTATAAACTTTTCGGCTATGTTTGGTAGACAAATAAGTTAGCTTATAAGTTATCTGTATTCAAATAAGTTTCGTTTGGTAGGACAAGGTTTTTTAAAAAGCGAGCTTATTTGATAAGCTTCTCGGTGTAGCTTTTTCAAATAAGCTCATTGAAATTTTTATTTCAGCTAGTTTATCAGCTAATTTTATCAAACACTTTTATCATGTAAACTAGCTTTTCGGCTATAAGTCATAAGATATAAACTCGAAAATAGCTGATAATCTGTAAACTAGCTTACCAGCTAGTTTTGCCAAAAATAGCCCTTAGTATTAAGTGTCATTTTATGTTAATTAATATATATATATATATATATATATATACACACTAGTACAACACATGTGTATTACACGGATGCTCATAAAAAAATATTCCTAAATTTTAAAATTAATGAAAAAAATTATTTTAAATTTTATTTATTTTTTTACAAAAAATATATATTATTATATATTTTAGAATGACACTTGTCATTTGTGTGACTTACATGTCTTATTTTATTATTGTTATAAAGATAAATATAATTTATTCTTTTATACATACAATAAGAATGTTAAATCGAAGTTCATCAAAAGATGATTAATTTGATATATTATATATGTAAAACTAAAAAAAAAATAAAAAAGTTATTAACTTTTAAAATACATTTACAATTCAATGGTCATAATAGGAAATAATATCAAAATGCAATTAATATATGTAACACATGACCATAAATAATCAACATATTTATAGATAATCCGGACCTAATTATTTTTAGATTGGAAGTAAATTAAAATCTACCAAAACCTAATAACGAAGCATGTAATTTTGCTACATAGGATCCCGAAGCATGCGAACTTACCACTTAAGCTCAGCACGTTTTGAATCAATGTATAAGGGGAGGGGAAGGGGGAGGGGATATATAAAATTAATTATTTCCCTACATCTATCTATTTTATATAAAAAAAAGGTATTTAAATGAAACTGTACCATATTTTCTCCCATAAATATAATTTTTTATCTAAATATCCAAATAACAAAATAATACAAAAATATATAAAAAAAAATGGAAAATTTGAACTATGAAATGCGCCCGTTGAAAATATCCAAAGGCGAAGCTGTTTGTTTACCCCAGCAATCACAAAGTCGACGCCGATAAATACGCTGAGCATTGTCCTTTTTAATTTTTATTTTATTTTTTTTTTCAAAAATATGTATTTTAATATTTCAGTTTGTAATATTAAAATCACAAGTAAATGAGTCTATTTTGACCTACCCAAAATTAAAAATAGATGTAAAAATGTATTATCACATGCTTTTGTTTCCTTTAGATTTGGTCACCATGAGTATTCATGACCATTTTCCTGGTAAAAATAATTTTGAATTATGTAATAATTAATTAAGATATTGATATATATATATATATATAAGAAATATATTATTAACAAAAATTTTCTGTTTTATATTATTCAGGGCATCCGGCATGAACTGTTTTCCAATTGTCGTGTTCGAGCTCATTTATTAAACAAATTGAGTTTTTGTTTTTTTATTTTTCATTTTATCTTATAGAAGAAACATTCGAATCAAACTTGTTTCCGAACAAACAATTCATGTATGATTTTAAAATATTAAACGAGCCAAACTGAACTGTCGCGATATTAAACGACCCGAGCCGCTTGTTTGTTTATCGAATAAGCACCGAGTTTAATATTACTCAATTTGCCTCGACTCATAATATTACCTTATATATGGAGGATTTGTCAATAATTTTTTTATTTTTTTTTTATTTTTTTTTTCAATTTAAAATAGTTAAAGAGTACATTTCACAGAAAGTTCCGTAAACGTCAGACTGATGTGGTTTTTATTTAAACGAGAAAAATATAAATTTGCACCACGTGAGATTTTTTCAAAATTTTTATTTATTGGGATTTGCACTCACATTTACACAATATATTCGATATTTAAAAATATTCGACTCGAAAATTATCGTGCTGACAGTCTGAAACATGTCTCCTCTCATTTGTTCTGAATTTTATTCATTTGAGTAAATATGAAATAATAACAATTCTGTGTATTTGTATATGTGAGTGGTGAAGCATGAACCGTGTATTTGCATTTACTAAACGAACGGAGCTCGATCTTTTAAGAGCCGAAATCGACTCGAACTATAGGAGAACACATAAAAATCATCTTTTTAAGCCTTGTTGAGCCGAGCTCGACTCGTTAATTGAATGAGCTTTAAATGAGCTCAAGTTCAGCTTGTTCATCAAACAAGTCGAGCCGAGATCACGAGCGGCTCGTTTAATTTAACAGTTCTAGTGGTGCATAATGTATGTGTAAACACAGAGCATATATTAGAGACGTAAACGAGACGAGTTAAACTCAAACTCCTTGAGTTTGTGTTCGAGCCTTAATGAGTCAAGAAATAGAACACTACATTGATATTCATATTGTCGAGCATTAATAGACAAAAGCACAAACTTTAATGAGCCGAGCTCACAAGAAGCTCGTTTCTTTAACAATTCTAGCATACATATCACTAAAGTGACTTTGGATGAAATTACCGGTGACGTGATTTCACCCAACACACAAATTAAGTTCGATTTACTCTATCTTTCACCTGTCGGATCACACAGTCTCGTGAATGTGTGTTGATCTCAACAATTATGTGACCACACGAGTAAAGTTGAAATTTACCGAATTCAAGATCAAAACTTTTAAATTTAAACTGAAGATGTGATAAATCATAATATGGATATAACAAGAAGGGCATCAACATTTGAAAATTCTCTGTAGCAATTATTGGAATTTTTTTACAAAAGGCATCATCATCAAGATCATTGTAACAAAAAAAGGGCGCCAAAATGTCCTATTCAACTTAACTCCAAAAAGACAACTGTTTGGGACCATATCAGTAAACCCCACACCACCTGACCAACTGGGCTCATGTGAAGTTTTTGTAGTCCCACATAAAGCATTCATGTCACATCTCAAGAAAAAAAGAAAAAAAAGAAAAAAAAAAACTCACCTGTGGGGTTCAAAAGCTCTGCTTCATGTTATTTTTCTCCTCACCAGTCCTTTAAAGAAATCAAAGCTACAGCCACATGGAGGTGATAAAAAAGGCGAATCGGATGAAGAAAAAAAAAAACAACCAAAAAAAGCCAGCGAAAAACTCGTTTTCGAATGAGAGCATAAATGGATACAGCATTTTGTATGACAGCACACATGGGACATGATTGGCATATACAAATCGGGGCACATAACAATTATCATCCGGAAGAAAGAAGAAGGGGGGGGGGCCTCCGGCTAATCGTTTATTACGTTGTCACATCAAGGACCAGCCTGTGGGGCCCCCATTTTCGTCCCTTGTGAAGTACTACTGCAAGTCGGGGACTCTATTTTCGGAATGGCGTTTAGTTGGCTGCACGAAGTGTTCGGCAAATCCATTTCGAACGAACTTAAAAGACACGAGGGTCGATTTGGTAAAAGAATGAAGTGTTTTTGGTTGCTATTTAGTTGAAACTAAATAACCGAGCTTTGTGGTGGACGATTTAGAAGCAAATGTAGGGCATTGTCTCTTAAAGTACGTATAATGTAAAGCTGAGTTTTTTTTTTTTTTTTAATAAATAATTTATCATTTTGCTGATGAAAAAACAATATTCTTGAGGAGCCAATAAGCTAAGGTGAACCAGTTCTAGAAAAAAAAGGGATTAAATGGTACATCGAGAAAATCGTGCATGCATTCACAATACGACAAACAATCATCGAGATATCATGATTTAGATCTAAAAACTTCTTTTTTCTATTTTTTTGCATCAAGACAACTATGCAACTGTGTGGATAGCTGCCAAAAGTACGAATCTTAAGGATGGTGGGCATTTGCATCGCTTGAATAAGAAACCAGGACAAGCAAATGCAGGAAAGCTCAACTCAGTATCTATGCTCCCAAAAGGGCCAAAACTCATACTTGAGGCAAATAAATAGCAAATTCTGTATAAATAGAAAAAAAGTTGGAAATTAATGATTATTCAGTTGAAATAATGATGCCTCGTAGAGTATTTGGTGAAAAAAGTAAAGAAGAAACCCGAGCGCATACGATTTTGTAACTGATTAACCATAAAATACAAACTATATCATAGATCGGAGGCGTTTCCAGTTTTTTTTGGCTAAAAAGTCAATAATTTCAGTAGAGTTCAAAGTCAAGTGTGACATTTGCACAATTTTTTTATAAACTACGAATTTGTGTACTTGCCTTGGTAAAAATTGACAAAAGAACCATTATTGCAATTTCACTATGAGTGAGCAAAACAAAAACCATTTGTTACAAGAAAAAAAAAAAATCGTAATTTGCTCGTTCAACAACCAAATTCCTTTCCAGCATCGAACAAAGGATAATTTGAGTGTTTAAATAATTTGATTCATTCCCAGATTGAAAAAATTAAGTGGGGCTGAGGATAAATGTACCTGTTTCCATCTGGATGAAGTTCACACGTCTGATCATCTTCAGTGACAGCCAGTAAATATCCAGATTTTGTTAAACCCTGAGTACCAAAAGCACGTCTTTTTTCAGCATATATGCCGTTTGTAATTACAAACACAATAATTAAATCTCTATACTACTAAAAATGTTTGATTTATAACATTGGCATTGCAGAAAACTCAAGATTCAGATGAAATTCAGAGGGTAGTATGTACTCTTTTCTTTTATATTATTTATCAATTGTACTTTTTTTTCCACAATAAAAAGGACTGGGACAGAAAAAAGGAATAACTAGAGAAATTGGTAAACTCGCGATGGCCGGCAATTTGTGTGATCACTTATCTTTTTCATGATCATAATTGTTTTTAAACTGCTGTAAATAATTGGATGTGATTTACTTAATCCTTGATCCTTAATCATAAACAATAAGATTTATTTGAACTGCCAAAACACATTTACGTAGTGTAATCCGAAGCCTTACTCATGTACCATCAGATAAATTTAAATAGACAAGCACGCTTTCCATTCTGTTTGCTACTCAATAATAGTTGATGGGAAATCAATACGAAGGGATCTTCAAAAGCTCTACAAGCAAGCTGCTCTCAACTGAATTTGAACATAGATTTATTGCATTCTATGTGGAATTGTGTAACAGTCAGTATATGTAGATTATTCGGTAAATACAGATTTAGAAAAGGGACATCATTTCTCCTCATTGAAATGAGTTAAGGAAATCGATAACGTCTCATCATTAATTCACCTGGATTGTGACCACATTTTCTGATATTTTCTCCTGATTTTCATTCTTTTCCTGTACGATAACTCGTTGTCCACTGCATGCAAGGCGCAAATGAGAAGCACAAAAATAAGTAGCTACATAGCAGATATCAGCAATTATTCTTTCAAGTGCAACTGTCCAAGTATGAAATTTCTCAACATGACCAAAATTAACAGGTCTCATTTTCCATACTATGAATAATCACTGCAAAATTTGATCTCCATCTTACAATTATGAGAAACTTTTTATAAAATTTTACTGCAACAAACGTTACTGCATGCAGTTAACCTACATGGCACATAACCATCTCATGCTTATCATCAATCAGTGTCATTTTCACGAATCAAGACTTAATTAGTCTTACCTGTGAAGCCATGTCTTGTAGTACAGCTCTTCCAGTGCTTGGAAGCCTGCAGGGAAAAGAATGTTACATTTTAAGAGTAAATTATTGACAGGTACCTTGCTGGTGAACATTATTCATACTTAGAAGTTAGAACAAAGAAGTATATGAAAATACTCAATCCGTACTCAATTCATACTCGAAATCTAACTCAACTTTAACCCAACTCCAGTATCCTCAATATTGTCATTATAATTAAATAATACCAACCAATCATTCTTACACATCACATCAACAATTTACTATTCATCCACTCACATAATTTTAACTAACCATCACTTCGCACCATCTCTCTCCTATTTTTATATCAAATAAACTTTAATTATTTTATTTTAAATATTATTTTAATATAAAATCAAAATCCCACTCATACCTAACTATTCCACTTTTTTTAAAATTAATTATGGTTAACCAAAAAAACTCATTTTGAGTGGATATATTTGTATACAAAACATGAGTGTCTGAAGAAGGAGAAATATGTTTAAAATAGTTTAATCGAAATATAAAAATGAAAGTCTGAAATGTGTTCTGATGAAATATCAACTACAAAATGGAACCCAAAAGGCAGGTTGTAGCTAGGAAAATGAAAACTTTTAACAGCTTCTCACTCATTCACTTCGATACATCATTCGATTCTTAATTAATCAAGCTGAAAGGTGTCTGGAATATCATACAAGTTTTTTTTAGTCAAAATCCAAAAGCTTTCTACATTATTCAGTGCTTCAAGAGTCTGTAACACTAGCTAAAATTTATCCGATTTAGTTGCCGTTAAATCCAATGCTCAATTTTCGAATGAGGAAACATCATACTAATCAGCCTTAGAGAAACAATTTCAGTGAAAATATGAACTATCAAGATTCAACTGTAAGGGAAAATGATCACCTTGACTAATAAAAATGTCATAATAACTCTCAAATTTATTGAAGAAAGCTGCAATAATCTCTTCACGCTGCAGTTGAGGAGCAGCATGTCCCATCCTTCTCAGAAAAGAATTCAGACATATTGTTGGTTGCTCGTTATTGATATTGAGGCCAATTCCTAAAACAAAATAAAAGAAGAATAAAAAAATCTTAAGGCTAAGCTCTTGTGTTTTCGACAATTATGTGATAGCCTACCAAACATAATGCACAATCTATGTTAGTCAGAAAGTGAAACACTTTGCAGTGATTTTGAATAATCAAAAGAAAGGAGTCTTACCAGCACTGACATTAAACTTCTTAGACTTATATGTTGATGTGCACAAAATACCTCCCACTTTAAGACCATCTAAATACAGGTCATTCGGCCACTTTATTCTAACGTCAAGAGAAGGCAGGCCCTGAAATATTTTGGTGTCAGAACATGAATTTTGAAAATAGAAGATAATATCATCGGAGAACGTGAATACGACTGTACTATCTAAAGTAACCACATGCTAGGCACAGAAAACTAAAAAATATTTGCATACGTACTCTTATTCTTTACCAGCATGTATTCTTATTCTTTACCTTGAAAACCAATCAAATTGAGCAGTTTCAGGAATGCAGGTGCTCTGTCACTAACATGGCTACAAATATATCACTGATGAACAAAAGGCAATTAACACGCGTAAATTCCACCTTTGATATTATCGTTCCCTTAAATACACAATCAAATCACGACAGCAAATTTACTCATTTTAACATATGATCGAACTTAGTTTTAAACTCTTTTGTGATTATTCTCATCCAACACAAACAAAGTAAATGAATTTCTTGCAAACACAAGTGCCAATAACACATATTTTTCAACCAACAGTGTATATGAGGGTGATGATTCAATTGATTTTCAATAAACAGAACATGAAACAACATAAATTTAATCAACATTGTCTCGTTCATAACTACACAGTAACAGCCTAGCCTGGAAACAAATGTCTGACTTTTTTCAGTAATTTTCTATTAACTATGCAACTCTTTCAAATGTTCCATTCTTGAAGCAAGCATCACCACTTTCCAAGGCGATTATGCACCGACATGGCTTTGAACTTTCAGTAGAAAACAAACAATGCCTACAGATCCCATCTTATGCCACAACAAGAAATCTCCCAAAATTATATCGTGAAAAGCCGCATTTGTAATCACACATAATTCACTATTATCATCACTACATTTTCTTACAGCCATTTGTAGATAACCACAAGGGAACAACACTTTGATCAAGCACTCACACTTAGTCGGCAAACATCTTTAATTGCCTCGGTCATAGCCAGGCTAATGATATACTGCACAAGTGGCAAAATACGGCCATCCTCCATCTGTATGGTGAACGAAAACAAGAGGCACCCCTTTGGCGATTCCCATACATTCTTCGACCGACCTTCGAAAAACACACAAAAAAAAGAAATTAAATAAAAACAGGAGAAGATAAGTTCAAAATCGCAACACCCATCATTAGGAACTGGCTGTACCTCTGCCTTTTACCTGCACGTCAGCAACACACACAGCACCAACAGGCAACTCAGCAAAATTACTGCCCGAAAAAATATCAGCAATTAACGTTATCGTACACACAAAACCACAGCTACACAGCTAAAAAGTTCAAGCAAATACTAAATAAATGGCAGGCCTACTGAGAAACGACATCATGGGTGGAAGCTAATTTGGGGGAGTAAACGAGCAGCTTTCCGAAATTCGAAGTCGAGAGCGAATTCATGTACGAACCCACGCGGAAAACGTCGTCGTTTCCAACGCCGTCTCGATTCTCGACCTCGGACTGCAGAACAACGGTCACCGGAGAATCATCGGGGAGATTTATCGCATTTATGTTCTTCAAGCGCCGCGCGAATTCATCTTCTACGACGGATTTCCCGCACAGCACGAGCGTCGTGGATGATTGTGGCTCCATTTCTCTCGATCAGAGAGAAACGGAAGGGCAATTTTTAGAGAGAGAAAGCGAGGGAAGAAAAAATGGACTGGAAGTCTGTAAACTGCACAGTGAAAAATGATAAATTTGCATTTTAGCCACTCCATTTTCACTACTATACTAAAATAACCTCGTTAGTTATAAAATATTTCAGTTATTTGGAAGCCTATTATTATTTTAATTTTTAATTATGTGAATTATGATAAAATACGGGAGTTTTTTTCAATACAAGGCCTTAAAGATCGGTAAATTATCAAATTGGGGTCTGAAAGATTTTTTTCTCGATTTGAGACCTAAAACAATTAACAACACTCATAAAAACATTAAATAGAGAGTTAATTTAAAGTTTTAAAACTCTAAATTTGAAGAAAAATAAAAGTTTGTTGCTTACTCACATAAAATAATAAGTAAACATTTGCATAATATTAAAAAACAACAAATTTGGTGTTTTAACTTTTAACACTTCAAAATTATCTCTCAATTTAATAATTTTATGAGTGTTGTTAATTGTAGGACTTAATTTCATAATTTTATAACATTTAAGTCCAGAATTGAGAAAAAAAAATTTTCGAATCCCGAATTAATAGTTTATCCATGTTTTAAGGATTGTACTAAAAAAAACTCCAATACCACGATAACATGTTAGAGTCAGCCTTCCCTCACTTCGTCTTCACTCCTCATCCCTAAAATCGCGAAGCCATTTTCACACTTCCCACTGAAATACTCTCCGGCACCGGCAATCGACAATTCGACATCACAAATTCAGGTGAGTATTTAATATTTAGTACTGAATTATGTTTCCCTTCTCACTGAATTCATGGGTCGATTGTTGTTTGGACTACATACGTAAATCCTTGGAAGTTTTTCTTCGTAATACTAAACAATGTTGAGAATTTTAGATGGGATAATATGAACTCTAACTATGGGTGTTTATAACTATTGTTCATTGAATAAGCTGGTGAAGTTTTGTTGGAGACACTGCTGAGTGTTTACTGGGAGTTGATTGAACTTCATTCATCATTCTTTAGTTATTTCACTTATTAGGAAATAAGGTGAAGTTTTGCTGGAGACAATTTTGAGTTTTTTTCATTGTGTTGCTGAAAACGAAAATAAAAATTGGTTTATGCTTTATTTTGGTTACTGATTTTAGTGAATCAACCGAGCCTAGCCGTGTCATCTTGGCTCTATGATTGAGCCGAGCAATAGTCGAAAAAAGCAAGTCTTCATTTGTTTACTCTGTAGTCTTTTTTCGCTTTTTACCGGTTTAAACTAAAATCGAACCGTTTTATCGGTAACCAACAAATTGGACACCGAATGCTTATTGGGCCGGTTTCGGTTTGAATATAGTGAAACCGAAAATGTTTGGTTCGGTATCCGTTCAATGGTAATACCAGCTCTTAGAACAACATGTCAACATCACATAACTTGCCCTAATTCTCACTCCCCTACTCCCAAGCTCTCGCCTCGTCTCAAGCCGCAGGCTCACAGCCCCGTTTCACTCTCGATTCTCTGCTCCGCGGCTCTGAAACCCCCGCTCGCCGTTAGTTTCTTATCCTCCGGCAATCTCAACCCCGCTCTCACTCTCCGGAGCTCTCGACCCCGCTGTCAGCCTTCGGCGCTCTCGAACTCGCTCTCAGTCTCTCACCCTCCGGCGCTCGCTCGTCATTCCACCGGCCTCTTCGATTTAGGTCAACTCTCACCCTCCGGCGCTCGCTCGTCATTCCACCGGCCTCTTCGATTTAGGTCAACTCTCACTCTCGAGATTTTTTTTTTGTCATATTCTCATTTTGATTCGTCCTCTTTCTTCAGTTTTTGTTGAGGCCTGAGGGTGATGCTTAATTTCTGAGAATCAATTATTTGGTCTGTAAATCTATAAACAATTCATTTTTCGCCCCAAGTTCAGCCCCAAGTTTTCTTCTAAAAAAATAGTTAGGAGTAGGTTACTTTTGTAGAATTCTATTCTGATTAATTTTACAGCGTGCAAATTCTTGTTTCCTTGTGAACATCCTTTTATGTTTTAAGACTGTGCTATGTCATTTTGAGAAGAATATGCACAGAAGAACAATTTCGAATTCACTTATGTTGTCTACTTGTTATTTGCTTAATGAATGTTATTTAGTGAAGTATGTGGAATAAGTAGTAATGTTTTTTGTTCTCCAAAAATGAGGCTTCGTCTTGGATTTGGAATTTTATGTGGTTATTTATGGTTATATGTCAAACTTTAATCCCTCTCTAATATTCCGTTTTTAATAAGTTTGTGCATTAGTTTGTTTTGCATTTTTTATGAGAGTGCAGTGATTTCTTTCAGCAGTACTCGTGTTCCTCCTTTTGCTTGCACTATCCTATTCGATTCGTTATTTTAGTGTTAACACTGTTTATTTCTGAACTTCTCCATACGTCGGGTCGGGTTGGATGTAGGATAATCGGGTAAAGAAAAACCCGAACTAACCCGACCGGCAATACCAATTCGGGAATCCAATTGCCCGACGGGTAAAACCCAACCCGAACCTGGTGGTGGATAATCGGGTAGCGGGCTGGGTACGGTGCATTTTTAGCAGGCGGGTGGGGTACGGACATGCTAAAACTCGTACCGACCCGGCCCATTTACATCCCTAAATGGTAGGCAGTAGTTTGGAACTTGTTGCCCTCTAAAATGATAAGTTTGTTTTAGATGTTTCATATTTTTGTTCTGATTTTAGATGTGCCTGAGAGTTGTATTTGTGCTTATTTTTTCTCTTTGAAAACAAATTTTAGACTGCATCTTTCTGAAATAATATTTCCAGAAATATTGAGTGGTTGTCATTGAATTTGTTGCGCACTTTTTCTTTATTAAATAAATTTAAGACAATGTCCTTCTCTTGGTTACACACTTTTGGTGACATTCTTGCATTTGGCTACATGGACACTGATCACACACAAACAAGGGCTACACATGATGGGATAGACATGATAAGAGATCAGCTCAGATAACTGTTGGGTAATATCTTAGATGGATTTGTTCATGTCATAACATTTGCCAGTGAGGATTTTTTTAATATAAAAATTATCATTTTAATAGTTAGCCAAGTAGTTTGTTGCTTGGTTCTGATAGTTTTCTAGTTACAGATGGATACAACTCTTTTCAAATAAATCACAGCACCCTTTATTTTTTGTTTATAGGGATAAATATTTAGTTAATTTTTCTCGTGTCTTTTTGTAATTGATGGATGCTGTGTATTTTTCATTCAATAAATTGACATTAGTTGAAACCCTTTCATTCAAGTCGGACTTAACTTTTTTTTTTTTTTTTTAAAATTGACTTGGTATGCAATGTGGAGTGTTGTTGGTTGAACCTCGGTCTTCTGTCCATATAATTACAGTTGTTTGCTACACAAGCCATTAGAAGATGAGTTATTGTCAGTTATAGTAATCCTTTTTGTATTATTTCGTTGTTAGTTAGAGTACTTATTCTGTATTTGAATTCTCATAACCTGTTGTTGATTAATATTTCTTTGAAGCTCGCGTTCCTTCATTTTGAGAAGTAATTACAATCTACAAACCTACCATTATATAATTTAGAATTTCATTATAAATATTCTTAAAATGAATAATTATAAAGATTATGTCATGATTAATTGCATTTGTATAGTGTTATACAACTCAAGAATTGATGGCTTTCTGGTGTTTACAGAGCTTGTGTTGGCATGCAAATCGGATTGAGTCCGCAGATTTTGATTCAGTGGTAACTGGATGTATTGTGGTCACAAAATTGGGTGAATTGAAGGAAACGAAAAGTAAGTCTTCAAAATTTTACGATTTGCTATTATGTAATTCGTGCAATACACGGAAGCAATGTGAAAATTGATTTTATATTATAAATGTTAGATTACACAAACACGATTTACAATAAAGTGATTAACATTCTCACCTAAAGGGGTTGAACTGTATTTCTGATATTTGATTATCAAGAGCTGCAACTTGTAAAATTGTGAGTCTCATTATTCCCCTGCTCTCTACCATGCATTTCCTACTGTTCCCTGATTTGCTAAAAATGTACATTTCAACAAGATTAATAACTTCTATCTGAGTGTCATGCCAAAAAATATTGATTCGTTTCATGGTCTTCCAAGTTAATTTTGATTTTTTGCGGATTGTGTGTAGTCTCTCATGTGGTTTGTCTTTTGTGATATATATCACTTCATGGTTTCAAACTATGAACTCTTCTTAGTTATGGAGCGTAGTTAACATAACACGATGCTCTGCTATAGCGTGGCATACCACCTAAACGAAAAAACCTTTGAAAAACTAAAAAACGACTAAAATCTAAAATTAGAACCCTTTTATTTATTTTTTAACACAATAGTTTGAACGAGTTTTGATCTTTTTGAAAAATTTGCAGCCGGTAGCCAAACATGAATAACGCATGTGTTGCCAGACTCGGCGCCGTTCACAAATGCACAATGCCACTACCTGTGACGAAAAACTTTCAGGTTGTGGTCGTGAGATACTACTCCACTTGCGCGGCCCCATTCTTCCGCTCATCCTCCTCCTCCACCCCACTCATCCACCTCAGCCATTCCTTCATCCTCAACTCCTGCCTAACCTCATCAGACGCTCCACAACGGTCAGATGAGTGGTTCGCCCTCCGCAAGGACAAGCTAACGACAAGCACCTTCAGCACAGCCCTCGGCCT